ACTTTCTTTTTTTAATGTCCTAATAACAGTTGCTCTCTGATTTTAGCAGACTTTCTCACACCAGGGAAATTACAGAGCCCATAAGGGTCAATCTTCTTTTTCTGAACTGCTTTTTCATTCCTAGGAACCGGTTTGTTGGTCCCATCCAGTTTTGGGGAAAACCACAAGTAAGGAAGATGAATGTGACACTCATGATCATTTATTGCTCATTACTCCTTTCAAAAGGCTGAGCTCTGACAGTAAACCGCACTGGCTGTGAGCACAAGCGCTCCGTCGGCGTGCTGGTGAAGCCGGGCTGTGGCTCCTCCAGGAAACTGCAGTCGGAACAGTTAACGCAAATTCAGCCAATCCCTGTGAATTATCCACACCTCGCAATATTGTCCAATTACTGCAATGTTGTCCGCAAACCTGACCAATCATTGTAGTTTTCTGTGTAAATACGTTGAGCCATACGTCATCGCCAAACTCACATCCTGTTTCTAGTCGTCCCACATTTACCCTTCCAAAACAGTGCGATTTTATTCTCAATTCGCCAGTGTTACTTTATTGTACCCACAGGTAGATTTGGTTTGCAATAAAAACAATAAGGCGTTCCTCTTGACAAAAATATAGAACAACAAACAACTTAGACAATATACCAGCATAGATCCCAACATGATAACAAAATGCCTCCAGGCTCTAAAAACAGAACTTCAAAAAAGAGAGACGCAATAAAAACCACTGAATGAATCAAGGTAAAAACATGTAAAACCTGAAATATCACTAGGCTGAAACAAGCTGTTTTTATTGCTGCTTTGTTTCTCCCAAAATCTTGGGACGCACAGAACCCCTCCGTCCCAGGAGGAAGAACTGAAGTTGACCCGGTGTAACCAGGTTGGGAGTCGTCACTTAAAATGAGCTGGTTACCGCTCTGCATCTGCTTGTACGGGGGGTAAGCTGTGACTCAGCCAAATCGGCCTACTAACGAATTATGACAGTCAAACTGTTTGCAACTATTTTGCCACATTTTCTCCTTTCTCCCCCACAAAGCAAAGCTGGCTGTGGAAATCCAGAACATTTTGAGCCCGACCACAAATCCCCCCAAGAAAAAGCCAAATGAATCCTGGAGGGACTGACCCCTATGGTGTGTATTGATCAGTGCTGGATGTCCTTCTACCGCACCCCTGGGACCCTCTACAAGTTGATGCCCACCAAACTCCCCGGTCCTGGCCTACGCCCCCTTCAACCCCTGAGGCCCCTTGGACAAAAAAAAAAAACCATTAGTAGACCAAAGA